GGTATGTACTCAGATGACTGACTGACACTATAGCCTGCAAAATATTTTTTTCTGTCGGTGGCATTGGCCTGCATAGTAAACGCCGTGGACGTTTGTATTAGCAACCCTGGAGTAGCTCTTGAAATGTGAGGCTACTAATTAGCTGTCTCAGTTTTTTTCTTCTTCCTGATGTTTTCTTTTGACTCACTTTGACTCTGAAGAGTCTGTATTCTTTGTGTATGTTTGTTTTTGTGTTTTGTCCAAAATCCCTAATGATATCTTACGATGTCCTGTTTCGGTTGAAAGAGTTTCTTTCTGTTTACATACTTTTTCCTGTTAAATGCATACATCAGGATTTTTCTCATAAGAATAGTTTGCAGAGGTGTAAACAAAGTATTATCAGTGTGCATATATATGTGCATATTTATTTTCACTATGCTATGCATTTCACAGTGTAAATGAGAATGTGCATAGTTACTGCATCCAAACCCATGAAAATCATAGTAAGTGTTTAGTACTTGAATATTTATTCACTAGCTAGTAACCTCACAATTAAATTATTATATAAAGTCAGTTAAATAACAGCAGAAGTTACTGTATTAAGACCCACGTTGCAAGGAAACCAATGGCAAGGAAGCAGTGAAATACACTAATAGATTATATGCTATAGCAATATATTGCCTTTTTTATTGCTTTTCCACAGGCAGCAGATTCATGTATAGTTATTACTAGCTACATTATCTGCTAGTTTTCTATCAGAAAGATTCACTCTATTGAATCATTAATCCAGTATTTATCATTCTTATTGAAAATCCACTAGTGTTAGCACTGTATAAAATATTGACTAAAATCTACTGGTTTTGCTAAAGATTAAAAACATATTAACCTAAAAGGAACAGTATTTCTTAGGACATTTGAAACTATTCATTGTGGATGTTTAAAATGACAATATTTCTATGCTGTGTGAGGAATGATTTTTTTTTTTTTTTTCAATCTTTAACATATAGTAAGTGACCAGTGCAATCCTGATTTAAAGATGCTGAATGTTCATACAACTCACATTTGAAATTTTGATGTGTGTTGCATTAGTTACTGAATATCAAGAATAAAATTTTTGCTCATACATAGAGTGTAAAATGGGATCTTTTGTAGCAGCACATGGCCTGTTTAGAATGATATAACAGGCGCTGAATGTTCACATATCAAACAAAATGCCATCTTTCTGTAGAAAAGAGGTGTCAAAAAGTTTCTTTGTACCTTTAACGCATGTGATTATGTAGTACAAAATGCAGAGTTTGTAAAATTTCTTGAATATACAGGCAAAAAATGAATAATTCAAAACAACTCATAAGTTCTACATTCTATTGTATCTTTTATAACGCAGGCAGAAGATAGCATTGTGCTCCCAGTAGAGCTGAATTTGCACAAGTTACACCTCTGAAAATGCCAGATGGTCTATGGTCTACTTTTGAGAGCTGTCACATATGTAAAGATTTGAAAAAAGAAAGACAGCTGAATGAGAGCAGTGGATCATTAAAGAGAGAGTGAGAGTCCCTGGGTATCACTGTGTTTTAAGAAGCATTGTGTCGTTCCCCATATTACACTTTTTTTTTTTTTTTAAGATATACACAACCTTTAAAAAATAAGGTAAAAATATTTCTGTTTTAAACGGAGCGGTTGTGGCTTACTGTTGGAGCTGTCACTTGCTTTTGTTCTTTATGCTAGAATGCAGTCATATGGTTCCTAATTGGTTTCAAGTGTGTTTTAACCATAAGATTCAAGTCTCCCTAGTGCAAAATTATCAATAAAGTTAAAATAAATTTAAATTGAGATAACTAATACATTTGGGGTTTTATTCCATTTTGATTTGACCTGTGCATCACATGTGAATACTGTAAAGCCAGTCAGCTAAAAAGTTGTGTGTTAATGCTAAAAGACTGAAGTAAGAGTGCTTTGGGAACAGGATTATTAAAAAAAGAAAAAGAAACCTTAGTAAAAGTAATTATAAAAGTTAAAACGAGTAACTATTTGTTTAGAGTCCCCAAGATTTAACCAGTCCTCCACAATTTGACAGAAATGAACATAATTTTGAAGTTTGAAGATTGGATAATTTGTCAAGTTACTGTATTGTAATAAAGCACCAAACATATACAAACAGTTGCAAGCTGCCACCACCAATTTAGCTGGCTTGGAAAAGGTCATATCTGTCAGTTTTAGAAACTGTGTGTCTAGACATACAGAATTTTTAGTATAGTCTATTACTTTCATTTATTGAGGAAGGTTAACCGCTCCCAAGTAATTCTAGGTTATTGGTGGAACTGTAATACAGCTCAGTTTGGAATCTTAGGCGGGACAACGTGAGGAAAGCATCCTTTTGTGGAGCATAAAAAAACCCATTTCTTAAGAATTACAAGATAAAGCAAATAAAGCTGGGGAGTTATGGATATGAACACTGAATTTTAGGGAGTAAAATTTTTGACTGCTGATGACTTTATTTTTTATCATAATTAATATTTTTGACTGCCGAGCATTTTAAAAATACCTTTTGATTAGAAAACAAAATATTTATATATAAATATCTATCTATCTATCTATCTATATCTGTCTGTATAAATATCTATTTTATATATAAACATCTATTTGATTAGATAACACAATCTGCGTTATACATGCATGGAAAGATGCCCTGTGCAAATGGCTCCTGTTAGTAGACTTTTATGGTGCCTGTTCCTGTTTCAGGTAGGAACAAACTCCCCCAGAACTTTTTTCAGGGCTTTTATGGTAGTCTGCAAATGTTAGTGGAATATATGATACAGACTGAATTCCGGAGTCAAGTAAATACCTTTGCTTATGTTTCAGTTCATATATTTGGCAAGCACTAATGCAAGATTGAAAGGAGCAACAGATTCGGTATTGCCATCTAAAACTTTATGGGCAACAGATTATCAGGTATCAGGACAGTTCTGTGCTCCTGCTGTGTTGGCCTGGAAATTAATGAGCAGTTACTGCTGGCAATGGAAAGGAATCATCTTTGTCTTTTCTGTAAAATTGTTAGGGAGGTTAATATCACAAATATTGTTGCATTAAGAAAGGGCTGGGTGAAATTTTCACTTTTGTAAAGTAGGTAAAATTAGGGTTACTCTGACCTAGATAAATATGTAGGCACTCTAGGTATCTTCTTAAAATCTTAACTGCAGTGACTCAGAAAATTCAATGACAAGAAAAATTAACCCCATTAATTTTTTTCAGTATTTAAACTCTTGTCTGGTGCTATCTTAAATGAAAAATCTCTCACTTTTTCTGTGAATATGGGCTTAGTTGAGAACTTATTTGAAATTTAATCTGGACAAGATTATGATAGTTGGAGGAAGCAGTCTGAAGATGGTATGCGTCAGTGTCTTTGATAAAAGGAAAGTGTTGCAGCTTTGTTAGCCAAATTCAGAAGTGAAGAGTCTTTTTAGAGACCATATCGGTCTCAGTGTTCTGGTAGTATTTGTCCAAATGTTTGGTCACCTGTACCTGAAGTGATTAGCGTAGCTATTTGTTTTGAAGGAAACTAACTATAATTGTTTATATATTTGGTTATCTTGGTTCTAGGTATAATGTTTTGATCTACATAGGAAGCTATACTGTGAAGCCACCTGAAAACTGATATGAGTCATCTGAAAAGAGAGTGAGCTGCAGTCCTGAGCACTGTTTCCCTTTACTACAGATGCTCTCTAATCTCTCTTCAGCTCAGAGTTCAATAAAATATAGGCTTTTTCCTTTGCATTAAATGTAGAAATAGTTGAATATTGTACTGTGTGAAGACCTCTCTAAGTCTAAGCATGATACCGTGGTGTTTTGATTAGTGATTGGACTTTTTGACTATGAAATCTTGTTACTATGTGTATAGTTCAATTAGTTTTAGACCTAAGTCTGCATTTGTTTAAAACATGAATCCTGAACTGGAAACCAGTCTTTTTAGTACAAAGCATTACATAAAAAGCTATATCTTTTTTCTTCTTTAGTTATAGACTGGAAAATGCATAGAAGATATTTTTCCCATGTTGTTAAAAATACTCTCCTTTCTGATATGGTAACACAGCAAAGAATGATCAAGTTTCATGCCATCTCATTAGAATGAATTCATAACGAGTACTCTTTGAGTCTTAGCCAGGCCATTGCAAATTCCTAGCTTGACAGGTTTTATAATTTTTCCTTGGACCGTTTCAGTTTGTAGTCATTAAAAACCCTGACTGGTCCATTATGGTCATTTTTCAAATTGTGCTTGTGAATTGAGAAATATGGTAGGGGATTGTGGGCTGCCATACGTAACAGTTTATAATATTCCAATAGGTATTGGAATATATGTTCCTGCTGTTTATTGGAACGTCTCCTCCACTTCCTGAAGACTTTGACTGTTTTTTTTCTTCCCAGAAATCCATGATCCTTATGAGTTTGAGACCAAAATGTTGTTAGCTACCTCAATAGTAATGTTCTTCTCTAGCAGCTTGGTCTCTGCGGGCTGTGTCCCCCCTCACCACATCGTCGTGGAGGTTACTTTCTCAAGCGTGCAGGCTGGCCTGCCTGTGATTTCACTTCTCTTTCTGCAGCTTGCGTCTTCTCTTCCCCCTATTCTGTCATGTTTCTCCCACTCTTCATTTGTGTCCCTTTAGCCCAAGTTTATCTCAGTTTTACTTCTTTTTCTCCCATTCCTGAGTTTTCTTTCTTCAAGTTGCTTGTCTTACTCTCTCCATCTAATTCACAGAGAATTATGAACTATTTGTCTCCATGCCTAATGAGGATTTCAGGCCTCACATAGATGTGAGGCACTTCCTGAATATCTAATTATCATCATTTTCAATCCAGGAGTATTCTTTTTTTTTTTTTTCTTATTTTGGTAGGAGGATCTTAACTTTTCAGTCCATCCTCTGGTCACTGAATAAGCATAATGAAAGTTACCTTCCCAGTCTAGCCTTAATATGTTCAGCCATCAATTTACAATTTAAATTAACCCTTTCTTTCTCTTTCATTTTAAGCACAACCTCAACGTTTGCCTCAGCCGAATATTTCAGCCCTGGAAAGGGGTGAGGAAGAAAGCGGCAAAATACAAAATGGTCATGCGGGTCTGAGCAATGGAAGTGGAATTCACAATGGGGTCAAGCATATATCAGCAGACAACAGAAAACTTTCAGCTCCTGTTTCAGAAAAAATGCACAGAAAAATTCAGTCCACCTTGTCTGTCAACAGTGACAGCAGCAAGAAGAGTAAAATAAGCTCTGCGTTTTCTCAGAAGCCAGGTACTTCACCTGAAGGTAAGCAGAAATTCTTACTTTAAAAAAAAAAAAAAAAAAAAAAGCAAACTAAATAAAGACTACCCAAACCCCCATTCTCACTAATAATTGCACAATGAACAGAAAGTAATTGAAGAGCGTGACTCGTACTCCAGAAGCAAATAGAAATCATTATGATAAAACATAAGTTGCTTCCCCAAAGGAGAATATTAAGTATTTGAAGGAAAATGAAGCAGTGGGAGATTTCTTACTTTCAAATGTTTGGCTACCATAGTGTGATAATGTCTTAGTCACCCTTAACTGACAGAAACTCCTGTCAGCACCATCACAGATATACCAGAAATAATGTTAAAGCACTTATTCAAAAGATAGTAATTACTTAATTCCACTAATGGCAGTTTCTGTGAGGATGGAGTTTGCTTTTGAAAGTGTTCTATTAGCAAATGCTCTGAGTAACCATGATATCTGGCCACTGAATAATAAAATTTGGACCTGTGCTTTAGTGATGAGTATGCCTTATGTTAGGCTGTAAATAATTTGCATGAAAAAGCTTCATAATCCCTGTGCACAACTTAAATAAGCGAAAGTAAATATTTTTCCTTACATTTTAGCTGTGTGTATTTTCATTGCTTGCAATTACTCTAATGGTCCCTGAGTTTCTGAGCCTGTTCTCAATCTACTGCCTTCCCATTAGCACTAATATACCTGAAGGCTTTGCTGCTGCCCATAACAACAAGGGTGCAGAAGCTCTCTAAATTTTATTGGTTTGAGGCAGGCTTTTATTTCAGCCTGTAGATAAGATGCATAGACGAGACTGGTTAAAAAACTCTGGGTACACTGGTAAAGACACAGGTTCCTGGAGAAATAGGAGATTGTACTGTTCGGTGACATGCGGAAGATTCTCAGCATAAATGAAAGCAAAAGGATCAGAAGCACTGTATAGCAGGCCTCATTCAAGCACTGGGATGTCAGTCGCGTGACTTCTCTTGACTTGAACTACTTCAATCAGACCTATTGAGTGAATCTGCATAATAGTATCAGGAACAGCTTCATTCATACTGTACCAAGTGCTGGTCCTCCTTGCTGAGGCTTATTTTCATATGCATCTTCAACAACCTACTGTTGTTTTTCTGTTGTGCTTTCAGTCCTCTAAAACTTCTTTCCAAATTCAGAATTTATACTTTACTATATCTCCTTATCACTTTCTATTATGTGAAATCCACTTCACCCTTGACCCTGGTATTTTTTCTTAGTTCCTTTCTACAATATTGAAAAACTGTTAACCAAGAGAACTAGAGCTGTTTATATGACTGATATAAAGTGCAGGCCTCTGAATTCAAGAAAATCAGCCTCTGAAAAACAAATTCTAGAGTTCTAAAGAGACAATGCCTGTCTTGTTCCTGCCTCATTCAATTTTTTATGGTAAACTCTACCTTTTTTCTTCTAAAATTGTATCAGAATAAGTTCAGTCAGTTTTTTTTAACGACCTTCCCAATGATTGTGTCAAATGGTTGAATAACTGGAGGAAAAGATACCTAAGATACCTTGAGATTTAGCTGTAAATTCTAATTTCTGATTTTTAGTATCCAAAACATGAGTGTGAGTGTTAGTTGCATGAATTTGCAAATTGCATTTTTTTATATACAATCAGAAGTGTGGATGTTTTTAAAGATATAACTGATTACAGTATAGATTTCTACATTGTTTTCAAGCTACCTCATATACATACTTTCAAAGTACAGAAATACAGGATAATCCTTGCTGTCACATGTAGTCTCTTGACTCATCTAGTACCTAAGGTTAAATATATTCAGCATTACACAACTAATCTTTTAATGTTCTCCTTTTGAACGTGGGAACTTAAATGTGTTCTGAATAGCATGGCCCATGCTGCTAAAGTCTGCTGCTTTAAGTTTTCTGTTACTAGTCTGAGTGAAGCACAAGTTTTATTGTGTAGTGATTATAAAGTGTATCTGGGGTATTGTGATGTGCCTACAAAAGAATACTTGTTTAAAAAAATCTTTTATTTTTGCAATTTTATTTTGCTTTACAGTTCTCTGGCAGACTTTTATATTTGCGTTCATACATCTGCATCTACTCATGAACAAACATTCTTTCAGCTTCTTCAGCTTGTCAGTAATTCACTCTGTGGGGGCTTCATTGGGGAACTGTAGGTTAATAGTCATATATGTATCAAGCTATGACCTTCCACAAAATACCAATATACCCTTGGTTTGTTCTATTATCACTGAATTGTTTGATAAGATGCGCTGGTAGAGACCCTAGCAATGGTCAGTTGACATATAAAATACGAAGGACAGATCACTGTTTATAGAAAGATAATTTATCCATCATTTAAAAATACTTGTGTTTATATACTTAGGGCAATGTTAACTCCTTTATGACTACTACAAGGCTATCCTTGGAAAAAACTTACTATAATTAGGCAGGTTATCTATTCAAAGGATTTTCGTTCCATTTAAATGAATAAATATCCTTGAATACCTCTAACTATACAAAACCAGAAAATGACACTAGTAAGTTCTGTACCTGAGGATTGTATAGACATCCATCCAAAATATTATACAAACGTTATTTTGAACTGAACCTCTACAGCTTCTTTATATCATGATTCATATCTTCCTGGGCACAGAGGTATTTTTGTGAACAGTTCTCTCTTACTTCTTGTTATCAAATAACTTTTCCGTAGAAACTATTGAAAAGGTCTACAGAAAGATGAAGGGGACTATTTGTAATTATTTATAAATGTTGTTTGTCTGCTTGCCTTTGCTTTAACTTGTACCGTGTTAACCTCACAAGGCACTAGTTACTGCTGAAGAGCTTCTGGGCTTGATTTTATCTGCAGGTTGTTTATTTGTGTTTGCCTTTATGCACACCTGTAGTAATATAGGTGTAAGTAATATAACTTGTATGTGATTTTGTATGTAAACTTATACAGAGAGAGACAAATTAAATTAATTTTTGCATTGTGAATATTGAATAATCATCTGAAGTTAACTCAGCTCCTTTAATTTGCTGTAGTGCCCAGATAATTTCAGTAGAAAGAAACATATGTAAACTTGCATGCTCTCAGATGTTCCAGTTCAGTATAATGCAAAAATTTTGTGATTCCTTATGGGTGATTTTGGAATCTATATTGTTCATAGCTTTTTTTTTTCTTTCTTTTTTTTTTTTTGGTCTGTTCTGTCTCCTACTTTGAGTGCTGCTGTGTTGCTGATCAGGAGAAGAACTGGTTTTGTTATGTGAAACAAAGTGGCCAGAGAAAAGAAATTAAGTATATTCTCAGAAGTGCTTCTTTCCAGAACTTAAAAGTCTGTATTTCAGACTAATATAGTTATTTAGCCTGGAAAGAATGGTATCCCACATGAATGAAAAGGACATCAGAATGGGTGTGTAAGATGCAGAAATGAGAACATCTGAGGACAAACATGACTTGAGAACAGATAGCCAGGGGGAAAAAAAGGGGAAATAGTTGCAAGGATAGAGTCAGGAATATCAAAAAAGGATTGATGATGAGGAGAAACTTGGAAAGAAATGAAAGTGAGTAGGAGGCCCAGAGGGTTTCTGTAGTAAAGGAAAATATACACAAGAACTTTTGGACGATAATCCAGATGAAGTACAGACCGAGAGGAATGCAAAGATAAATTGTGTGTGCAGTAGTTTTCAAAAGATACATATCTTCTTATGACACTACACTGAAGAAGATATGCTTTTACAGCAGTTAAGTGAGATATCTGGTTATCAAGTTGAGTTTAGACCATAGGAAAGAGAAAGTATTTTCCTCGTGTTCTTCCTCCCTCCCAAAAGCTTCATTTTTGTTATTTCTTCTTAAAATACAAGATGTGAATATTTTTGCAGCACCACACCTATTTGTAATGCTAAATAAGTCAATCTGGTCATGTCTGGTAGTTATTTTGGCCTGGAAAGTAGTATCTATTGACAGAACAGAAAACCTGGTAATGCTTTGAAGCAGGGTAGAGTCAAGAAAGATCCAAGCTTGCCGCCTATCCTGTGCGTGAGAGTATTTGGGCATTTATTTAAAAAATTAGCAAATGCTGCATGCTATTCATGTACTGCAGACTTCAGCATATACAGTGGAAAGCTGAAGTCCAATGTTAATTTGCCTAGCGGGTCACACCTTTTCTTGTTGCTGTTGTTCTTCAAAGTACTAGACAGCCTTCTTTCAAGTATTAAAAAAAAAAAAAGAAAAAAAAGAAAAAAAAAAAAAAAAAAAAAAAAGAAAGAGAGACCCCCAAAAGAAATTCAAAACTTTTTTATTTATTGTTCCAGCTCCAAATTCCATTTGTACTGTAGATTGTGAGCTTTAGGAATTACAGTTATGCTGAAAGTGTTTAAAATGCATCAGACCTTTTGGTAGTAGCAATAGTGGAGAACTTTTAATATCTGCCTTCTTAAATTATCATGTATACTTACGGAGTCATGTCAGAAATCCAGAAATCCACTGTTTAGAAACACTTTCACATCCAATGAGGCTTAGAAGGGTGTAAGTTCACTCACGAGTTATGTTCTTACTCTACATCTATTATTAATCCATATTGTCCCTGAAGAAAACTTACTCTGCTCCATATTTTATACTGGAAAAACAAAGGAATTATGAAATAGTAACATTGTCATTCTTAAAAAAAAAAAACAAAAAACAAAAAAAACCCACTCATTTTTAAACACTGCCAGTGCAGATTTTTTTTATTCAAAAAAATATTAATAAGATTTAAAATGATTTATGTCAGGTGTCACAAATCTTCCAAAACTGGTCTGTAGAACACTGGCATAGTGGTCTGAATCGTCACTCCCTTGCTCCTGTTATGTGTAATGCAGAGGAAACACCTCAGAAACATGAAAAAGCAATCACAAATGAATAAAAAGATGGCAGTCTAGGTGCTACATTCAGAAGTTTTTTTTTTTGTTTTTTTTTTTTTACCTATAGACAAGGAAGAGGAGAAAGTGGTACACGTCCAAAGCAACCAAAAGTAGAAAGTAAG